TATTGACAAAATAAATACGCCACACAATACTTCACAGAAAAAACACTCATCCAGCGTTACTTTCATGGTAAAAAGGCGACTTTCTGTTACCTACATTCTGTGGTGTCTCATGTCATTTTTCAGCGGTGAATTCAAATTGTTTGGAACTTTTAGGTTAACAGTTATCACCCTTGAGATTGTCATCTGTCAAGAAAGTACCCTGTTCGTGTTCTGTGCTACGTGTTTCTTCTGTACGGGAGTTTGAGTCACTACTTGAGACTGCGGCACTACAGGGGTCATTTTTAAAAATGTATTAACCTGCATGGCGCTGGAAAGGCAATGAACTTGAACAGAAACCACAAATTATCCCTACTGAAAATGGATTATTTCATGCAAACAGTCTCGTGGCTCGCAATCCAATCGTCATCGGGCAATTGACTTTTTACTCTAATAATAATCAAGTTGCTTGTTAGGAGATTCTTGCAATATTCCATCATTATGCTAGGATTATGACACTTTATATTAGTTTCAGTTTATGGTTAATCAGGGTCTGATGAAATTCCACAGGTCGTATCTTATTTGAATTATTACTGGAGTGTTTCAAGGGTCGGTACTTAGGCTGATTCTATTGTAACCTAAAGAATTAAAATCGCCAAAATAAATACAGGGTCTTTCACGACGAGCGTTCGTTAGGAATATATGGAGAACGATTCATAATGAACACTTGAAATTTTGTGGTAGCGGGTTTTACAAAATGGCCTTCTCAACTAAAATAGTTTCAACTTCCGGTCTCTTTCCGTTATACCGGAAGTTGAGGGCAACTTCCTTATTTCAAATGGAACACCCTGTATTTTATTACATTTTTGAAGTTCTCAGCACATTTTAGGCCCACTTTGTATTACAATGCCTATACCCAAATTTGTTAGTTTTCGAGATATTCATTTTTTTTCTGAAAAATTTGACAGTTACAGCACCACTCCGAAAAAATCATAACTCATAGACAATAACAGTTGAAAATGTGAAATTTCAGAAAATCACACCTTAAGCATCAAGTCATGAACAGGTCCATCGAATTTTCGAAAATAATTTACAGGGTGGTCAAAATTTCCACCTAAAACATGACTTCGGGAAAACTGATGAAACACGATTTTTTCAAATGGAAACCATACACTATTCTATTATTTTGGGATACTACGAAAAAAAAAGATATCAAATTCATGAAGAATGTCCTATACCTAAAATACACCCTTGGCAAGATATATTCGATTTTGGGAAATATTTGAAATGTAAATAATTCGAAGCAATACCAAATCAAGAAAGCTTTGATAACAAATAAAGTTACAACAAATATGTCAAAGTTTGATGCGATATAATTGACGTGTATTTCGTAGTTTTCTATTTGTGAGCAAAATGTCTCGTTTGGGGTATTCTAATGAAGATTTCCTGAATTTAAAGATCATTCATTTATCTTGACTCACTATTGTGCCCATTTACCTATATTCAATTAACAAGTAAAACTAGATGAGGTTAGAATAACTGACACTCATGATATTTATATTTGTATTATTTGTATTATTTTTTTGGAAAATTATTTTAATGATTTCAGGGATGAATCGGATTTTTCCTCTTATAGGTTTTTTCCTGTCCTGTCATATAACACTACCCAAAATAGTCTCTCGTTGAGAACCAAGATAAGTTTCAATATTTTGCCATTTTTCATCAGATTTCTGGGACATATCGGGGTAGAAACTTCCAAATGAACAACACTGTAAAGGAACATAATAAAAAAAATAATATAATATTGAATTTCAGCACTGTTAAAGATGGAAAGTTATCAACAAAATCTGCCTGAAAAGAGAAATCGACGTCCGATTTTAATCTATGAAATAAAATTTGAATAACCGTCGATGATAACTGCTAGAGACAGTGCATTGTTATTCAGATGTCAATAATCTGGTGACCCTATTGTTGAGCTGGGACCCTTTTTCCCTGAAGGGTTCATTCCCACTTGAACTACCCAACCCTTTGTTTATATCATCATGTCAATACTCACTAAGACAAACGGACCATGACAAGTTGGACAATCGAATAGCAGCCGGTTTTTTGCACAATGACATGTATCCTAGATAGGCAAATTCAATAGATAACGTGCTATGTTGATATCTATATTTTTCCAGTATTTCATGAGCTAAATTGAACGTACACCTGACTATCAATATGGAAAGAAGCAGATCACTCACCTTTGTGGCTCCTGACATTACAAATTATTATCGGAATTCACCAAAAACCGTGTTTGACTATTTACTTTACTCATTCTTAGTATTATTGATCGTTTATTAACGAAAATCAGTCCAGCTCGCGCTGGACTGACAGTGTTGCCGGTTTGCGAAGGGTTAGAAGTTGAAAGCCGGTTGACTTATCAGTTTGTTCAACGTCATTCTTTTTATGGAGGGTTGTGGTTAGGATAACCTTGTGTCTAGTAAACGATAAATCATTATAGTTTTTAATGACTCGAGTTTTTAGTGATATAGAGCCTAAATAAATGTGACTTTTCACGTAGTTGAAGATTTTCTTTTAATAGTACCATTTTAAAGCGGGATTTTCTACTTCCGTTTCATCTCGCTCTCCTTAGTTTTTAACTTTTAGCGCTTCATTTAGAATTTACACACTTGCTACAGTGGCGCCTCCCCAATTTAATGCCCCTAAGGTCAAACAATTTTCTCCACCTCAGAAAAATAAAATTTTTGAACAAATTGTGTCTGGTTTTTTGCAAATATCTCAATAACCATTCGACATTTTTCAAATTTGAAAAAAGATTCAAAAAAGGAGGAAATATTCCAAACAAAGTTCTGCCTCCCAGAACTTTACGACCAATATTCATAATTTTCCCAGAGGGTTGAAATGACGTCTTAAAAATAAATAAATGAATGAACAATATACCGCGGTCAAAATATGTTTATCGTGATTTTCCGGTTAATTATACATTAGTTAATCAACGATGTTTTTCTACTCAAACAGGAACATTGCAAGTTCGATAAGAAGCAGAAAATGTTCAGTTATAGAGCTGAAGCCTAGCCTAAACTCTTGCCCATTACCAAAGTACAAGTACCAAAGTACAGTAGTTGGTTTCATTTTATCTTATCATGTTCGCTAAACATCTTGATTTTTTATTTATAGTAAAAAATGTATCTCAATTGCACTTTACTCTCTTTAAATTCCTAGATCCGTGCTGGAAAGTTTAGATATGATTCATTTTTCTGCAGACAAATTAGTCACTTGTCGTTATAATCTTTCTGCATATATACAAGTGTCTGATATCTATTCTGAGTGGAGTATGTAGAGGAGGGGGCTGAATAGCACCTTTGATGTGATTCAGGTGTCCATTTTACTGCACAAATATATTTTATATTTACAAGTCATAATTGAAATATAATGTATTATCAACTTAATAATTTCTGCTAAATAAAAATAGAAGTGGCAACAGTGTAAAGCAATATGCAAACAGTGAACGATTACAAGGGAGTTTGCGCCAAATAATGTCATCTAAATTTAAAAAAAAAGAAGCGTAAAAAAACTAGTAGTGAAATTTTTTGCAGATTGTACAACTAGTTTTCATCACCAAATGAAAAAGTCAACTATACGTTGCTGAAGCCACAGAAATACCAACTTTAGCTTGATATTTCCAACACTTTTGATAATCCCCTAATCAAATTTAAACGATTATTCTTGATATTTGATTCAGTTGAATATGTTATTGTATTCGTCGCCTAATTCCTCTTTTTTGGAAGTTTTCCTCATTTTTTTGTATAAATATGGAGTGGTAACAGAAAGCCAAAACATTTATATAATTGGGAAAGAAAGTTTTTGGGTTTCTACTACTCCATCTTGATACATCAAGTTGATATATCAAGATGGAGTAGTAGAAAGCCAAAAACTTTCTTTCCCAAAAATTAATCAGTCCTAAAAATATAACCCCTTCAATTTATGTAATTATTAGTAGCTATATTCGATTTTCAACTTAGAAATCATGCTTGATTTATATACATATCTAAAAATTCAAATAGATCTTTGATATGTTTAATTATCAAAGAAAAAATAATAATTACTCACTCAATGATACAAATTGCTGTATTTGAAAACTATTATAATGTTTATCATATACATTTCATTAAAAAATAATGATCGGGGTACCTATATTATTTTTCATTGACTACCAAAAATATGAGATGAAACTTTAAAAAAAATCTGGGCTTGCTTCTGCAGGGCAGGTCTAGTGATTTTATTCGCTGTAAAAGCTGTCTAAGCATTCAATTTTTTTGTCATTATTTTTTGCGGAAATAATCATGTTGGTCACAGCCGTAATCGAGCTGGTATTTTTCTCAATCCAATCAGTTATTTGATAAAAAATTACCTATTTTCCAGGGACCAGTCCCCTGTCTGAATCCATCATTGTTCATAATTGTTTCGTTTCACGAAATATTTTTGGAGCCACTCTGAAAATTTACCTACGCCAATGTCATCAGTTGTTAACCACTTGAAATCTCTTTCGACTCGTAATTGTATTTACCCTTATCCCTCTTTTATTGTCAAGAGGTCAAGAAGGGATAGTTAATGACCCCTCTTGAAAGTGTAGAATAATGTGACACTATTCACATTTCACAACTTGTTTCCTATCATCTAGCCATTTTGGTGAGAGTAAAACCTTTTTGAAAACTGCACAAGAGTAATTAACTTTGTTTGTTCAAACTTCCCGCGAAAATCCAAACTACCAGCGCCTTCGTTTACAAGTGTCCAGTTTTGGAAATACACCATCAGGCGTCGGAAGGATTTACTCAAAGTTCGACAGTTCAACTCAAATTGAGAATTTCTATAGCATCAAACTTTGTATATAGACTCTATATACAAAGGTATCAAAGGTAAGTAAGCCGTATATTTGTATTCGTATCCAAACGCCAGCTTACTAAATGCTGAATAGCTGTCAAACGCTACCATTCATGTCTGCTTTATTTTTGTTGCTTATAAAAAAAATGTTGCTCTCGATAAATACCCAGTAGTAGGAAATTGACTGCTAGTATCACTCTCATAACAGATGTGCGATGAATGAAATCATACGCGTCCAGTGCTTGGTAGTTTCGTAACATAACATGGCTACAGATTATCAATACTATGTGACTCATTTCAATAATTTGTGAGTCACTTGCACTTTGATTTTTTTTTGTTCGACAGTTGGTTGTTTGAGTGCCCTAAGCTAGGCAGTTGTTGAATAATTTCGGATTTGACTTAGAAACTTAGTTTGGGGTAAGGCAATAACTTCGTAGAAAACTGTTTTACATCCTGTTTTGGAATTCTGTAAGTTCATCTTCAAGCCTCTAAACATCAGACTTTTAGTAACAGAAATGATTTATCATATGCTAAATTTGAATTGTTTCTGAAAGGATATGCCAATGGTGGGAATCTAGAAATGTATTTCTTCAGCAATAGATGTAGATATTGGTGTGCCACAAGGTAGAATTTTGGGCCACTTTTTGTTATTAAAACGATTCGAAAAGTGCTATTCAAAAAATGAATTGTGCTTTCAAATACAATAATAATTATCTTTAGTACAGTAACCTGAAATTGAATGTAGAAAAACACAAAGAAAAAAATAATGCAAATAGATTAAATTAATATAATTATTGATAATGAAAAATGGAATTCGAATTTCATGCACATGAATGCTAAAAAAAGGTTATATTATGGATATATCTATTTCAATAAATATATTTATCATTTTGGATATTGCAATTATCAATTTATCATAATAATTCTGATGCTCTTGGAGGGACTAGTGAAAATATGGTCAAAGAATGAATCATTTCTCTACGAATTTATTGCTCCACAATCCAAAATGAGTTACTGATTGATGTTGCAGTTTGTATTACCAAATTTCTTTAAAAATAATTTTCGATTTTGTTTTAGCTTCACCATGGAGACTGACGAAGGCGAATCTTCGAGTGGCGGTCCCATATCATCCCTCAACTCGCTATTTTCTTTCACCAGCCCCGCAGTAAAGAAACTGTTAGGATGGAAACAGGGAGACGAAGAAGAGAAGTGGGCAGAAAAAGCTGTCGACAGCTTGGTCAAGAAGCTGAAGAAGAGAAAAGGGGCCATTGAGGAGCTGGAAAGAGCACTATCATGCCCGGGTACTCCCAGTAAGTGTGTGACTATCCCCAGAAGTTTAGACGGCAGACTGCAAGTGTCCCACAGAAAGGGTCTTCCCCACGTCATATACTGTCGCGTTTGGCGTTGGCCAGACTTGCAAACCCACCACGAGCTCAAACCACTCGAACATTGCCAGTTTTCATTTTCCGCCAAGCACAAGGAAGTTTGCATCAACCCTTATCATTATAAGCGAGTGGAAAGCCCTGTGCTCCCCCCTGTTCTAGTGCCGAGACATAATGACTTTGTTCCGGGGCATTCTTTGCTGCAGTTTCAACAACTCGCAGAGCCCAACATGCCGCACAACGTCAGATACTCGCCCAATGGTTTCAGCTCTAATTTGAACCCCGGTTCGCCCTTATCGAGTGTGCCCAGTCCCGGAAGCGTTTCCTCTAATAACCCACAGTCTCCTTACGCCAACTTGGCTGAAACACCTCCGCCTGCTTACAGCCCAACGGACGAGGCCAATTCCAACTCTAACAACAACCTCAGTACTGAACCTACGATGAACAGTGATTTGCAACCTGTGGCTTACCAAGAGCAGCCCTTCTGGGCCTCCATAGCCTACTACGAGTTGAATTGTAGGGTCGGAGAAGTGTTCCATTGTCACTCGACTTCCGTTATAGTGGATGGCTTCACAAACCCAAGCAACAACAGCGACAGGTTCTGTCTGGGGCAGCTTAGTAATGTTAACAGAAACTCCACCATAGAAAACACTAGGAGACACATCGGAAAGGGGGTACACTTGTACTATGTCAACGGGGAAGTATATGCGGAATGCCTGTCGGATTCAGCTATTTTCGTTCAGTCCCGCAACTGCAACCATCACCATGGATTCCACCCCTCCACAGTTTGTAAGATCCCGGCAGGGTGTTCTCTCCGAATATTCAACAATGCCGAGTTTGCTCAGCTGTTGTCTCAGTGCGTGAATCACGGCTTCGAAGCTGTTTACGAACTTACCAAGATGTGTACGATACGGATGAGTTTTGTCAAAGGTTGGGGGGCGGAATACCACAGGCAGGATGTTACCAGTACTCCCTGTTGGATAGAAGTGCACCTCCATGGGCCACTGCAGTGGCTAGATAAGGTTTTGACACAGATGGGGGCACCGCATAATGCCATCAGTTCTGTTTCGTAAAAAGGTAAGTCTTTTCTGTCCTGTATCAGTTAGTTTTCTGACGAATAATTCTGATTTCATTGCCTCAATTTTAAGCAGTCTCTCAAGCAAGACTGTTACTGATTGTTAGAACATCACACATCTACTAATTCAATTATGAACTGTAAGATAGCTTGTATCAATTCACATTTTCAACTTTGAATTAGATTTAATTTACTCTGTATTCACAATTAAAATTGTGAATTAACTATACTCGCAGATAAAGTTGTGAATTAACTGTATTCACAGTTCAAGTTGTGAATTGAGTATATTTACAGTTCTAGTTGTGAATTAACTAAATGTACAGTTCAAGTTGTGAATTAACTATACTCACAGTCCAAAGTGTAAATCAATAGTAATTCACAGTTAAGTGTGAATGCAGAGAAAATTGAATGAAGGTGGCCTTCTATGCGTCCCTGCTGTTTACAAAAGTTCAAACTTTACACTTCAAACTGTGAATTTTGATCAACTCACACTTAACAATCTGACGCAAATCTATCTTTTAATTTCTAATTCACAGTTCAAGCTGTAAATGAGTTATATTCACAATTCACTAGATTAACAGTTCCAAGTTTGTGAATTAATCATATTCACAGTTCAAAGTGTTGATCAACAGTAATTCACAATTGAGAATGAATCAAGAAAGAAATAAAGGTGGTCTTCTGTGCAACTTCACACTTTAATCTGTGAATTATGATCAACTCATACTTTACAGTGTGAAGTAGGTTAAGTTAGTCTCTAACTTTATTTTTCAACTTGTAATTCACAGTTTGAATTGTAAATTGACTACATTCACAATTCAAATTATGAATTTACTGTATTCATAGTTCAAGTTGTGAATCAACTGTATTCACAGTTCCAGTTGTGAATTAACTATAGTCACAGCTCAAAGTGTAAATAAATTGTAATTCACAGTTAAGTTTGAATGGAGAAAAAATCGAATAAAGATAGCCTTCTATGCATCTCTGGTATTTACACAAGTTCAGTGCACACTTTACAGTGTGAAGTAGGTTAGGTTAATTTATAACTTCATCTTTCAACTTGTCATTCACAGTTCAAGCTGTGAATTAGTTATATTCAACATTCAAATTGTGAATTAACTGTATTCACACTTCAAGTTGTGAATCAACTATATTCACTGTTGAAAGTGTCAATCAATATTAATACACAGTTTAGTGTGAGTCGACTATATTCACAGTTCAAAGCGTATATCCATAGTAGACACAAATTTAGGAACTATCGATAGAGAGACTCTGTTTCTATAGAACGGTGGAGGAAGTATATAACTTAATTTTATTCCTAATGCACTTCTGAAGGAAAATAAGCAGAGTGGGCTGAATTCCTTTTTATTTGAGGTTATGCCAGAATAGCAAACACACATTGAGTGCCAATATTCTCTGTACTACCCGCTCTCAATTTTTTTACTGTCTCAAAATTATATGTATCCAACAGTATATGTATCTTCTGATTTTTCAGACAGTGTGTGTATGTGAAAACTCGACTAAAGAAGAAGAAGAGACCTAGACTTGGATCTCCCTGTACACGACATCCAACCAGGTATCCAGTCACCATAAAGTGTATGCAGATTAGAAGCTGAATGTCTCATCATTAGTTTCTACTCTGCGTAAATTTGTTCATAAAATTTAAAAGCTCTACACTCACTTGAATCCTCAATATCCTAATAAAGTGTCACCTCGTAAATATCTCCAAAGGCTGGTGACATAAAACAAGTCGGAATTGAGTGTATGGATCTCTAATTAGTTTATAGGCCAGTTAATGCCGTGTAAAAATTTAAAATTATTTCTAGGATATTGAAAATTTGAATGGTTCATTTATGTTGAAGAATGAGGATGGTACTCCTAAAAAATTACTGCTCAAAATCGAAATTACTGATACTTAACTTCAACTGAAATTTCTGCCGTGTTTCACAGGAAGCACGTATATTTTTGCTTTCTGAATTTTCGTTAGTGCCTATAATACATTACCAAATAGTTTTTGGAAACTGAACTGTTTGGTAGTTTTCTTTCTCAGTTTTCAAACAACTAATCAAGCGATATTGTCCCGCCGTAACTATGAATAAATAAATATTTTTTGACGATAAACTGGAACTGGTTTGATTTTGAAAGTCGGTAGATCGCAAGCAGCGTATGTAATAGAGGAAAATATTGATTTATATTCAGGTTGAATGATGACATTTGAACGGTGAACATTTTTCAAGTAGTTCAGAACGGTTTGACTTTGACAGTCATTGACATAAATTATATAAAGTAGAGGTCCCAAAATAGAGCCTTGTGGTACTCCAATAGTATACTTTAAACGTTTAGATTGATACTGATCTCTATCAACGTATTGTGTTCGATTTTGGAGATAACTTTCAAACCATCTACGTGAGTTTCCCCTAAAACCATACTTTTCCGATTTGTCTAGTAGGATTCTGTGGTCTACAAGATCAAATGCCTTACTTAGATCTAAGAAAATACCCAGAGTTCGATTACCCACATCTAGACTATTATATAGCTCTTTTAGTAGTTTTATTATAGCTTGTGTTGTTGAACGTCCCTTTCTAAAACCAAATTGATTTTCATTGAATAGCTTATGAAGATCAAAGAATGAAACGACTGAATTTGACACCCATTTATCGTAAACCTTTGCCAAAGCACTGGGGACAGTGATGGGCCTGTAATTTTCAACTTGGGTTTTATTTCCGTTTTTATGTATAGGTTTCATTTTTTCAATTTTTAAGCTATCTGGGTAAAAACCTTCTTCCAACGAGCAGTTGATGGCAAAAGTTAGTGGGCCTGCAAACAATATGTCAAATGCTTTGTTGACAGTCAAACCAGTCACAGTTTCTCTGATATCTATGAATAAATCCAATGTTTCATCAAAATAAAATGGGTTCATGAACTTTATAAGCTCTAAATAATAATGATATTTCTGAAACGACTAATCCTGCACTATTTGCTGTTATTTGTGCAGTTTCTTGCGTTTATCGACTGGACTGTAATAAACATTTTTTTATCTGAACAAAATCCTTAATTGCCTGCAATTTAAAGTGCACACGGCATGATAAACTGGTTGTGCAAATGAAGCGGTTCAGATGAAACTGTCTTGGGAAAATGAACTTGACTTGCGTAACTGTAATCATATTATTTTTCGTGTTCAGAACTTGCAGGAAACAAATAATGCAGGAAGATTACATTTACGGATTATTAGTTTTTAGTAATTTCCAATAGTGATCTCTGTTACGTGTGTGCTGAGTAATGTTACTATGTCTATGTGTGACATCGAGTGTGACCTGATTTTTTTATTTCTTTGACATATTTCACAGGCCTGATCATGGAGTGAGTGAAAAATATAAACTGAAATAGCCAAATTTTTTATAGACATCGGTTTTTATACAGACAAAAAACTTATCTCGATAAGTCATTGTGAAAATTCAGAGTATTTTTCACAAGAAGAATGTTCTATTCATCATTAACTTGTTGTATTTGATAATTTTGCCTCTCCTTTAAAAAAATCAGACTTATTAATATCATTAGTATACAGTTGAAGAGAGTAAACCAAAAAAATAAAATGAAGGAAACATTTAGGAGAGTTGTGCTAAAAAAATTTGTGAAAACTTATGTGCTATAGTAATAAGCTCACATGATAGAGTAACACTCAAGTTGGGCTCATGTATTTTAACTATGATTATACAATACTGTTTTTCAGAACTGGACAAATCTACGTTATATGCAGTTTTTTCTTGGTTTATCATCGACATCTGTCGAGGAATTTGAGAAATGAAAAGGATCTGCAAAAAAAAACTGCGTATGAACTTAGATTTGTCCAATTCTGAAGACAGAGACAAAAATGTTGAGTATTGTATAATTTCTTAGCTTTTTTTATTAGGCAAAATTATTAAATACGATAATTTACTGATGAATAGCATTCTTCTTTGTGAAAATACTTAGTTTATCAGGGTGATCCAATAAATTTTCTGAAGAAAAGAAATTGTTTTCTTGCCGGCGTTTCGAGTCAGATTCTGCTTCAGGGCTCTGTAACAATGAATTTTCATAAGCTTATCCCCCGCAAAACTTATACGATTATTATCATTTCAATTTTACATGAAATAATGAATTCATAATCAAATTACTCATTATTTCTTGGAAACGATAATAATCGTATAAGGTATGTTTATGAAAATTCATTGTTACAGAGCCCTGAAATTCGAAGCGTCGCAATAAATCAATTGTTTTTTTTTTATTGATGCTTTTACCCAAAACCTTCAGAAAATTTATTGGATCACTAAACTAGTTAACTATAATGGAAAAGTAGTTTCTTCATGTTAATACTATAACTATTTTAAAAACCATCAGACATATTAGATACATAATGAAAAACTTTGCAACAACCAACTTTTCGACACCAACACAAAACGACGTGATTCTGATGAGGTGGTGTCTGTTTTTCAATCAATGACAGAAATTGATATATGCAGTATTAAGGCCATCGGCGTACCTTCCAGTGTTAACACTATCGCACTTGACGATATGTATCTTTTCGCTCAAAAGTCTTTTGAATAGTTGGATGATCAAAATCAAACGTGTCCATTTTTTTTTCATGTTCAACGAGGACTGTGGGGTTTTTTATATTAACTTTCTTAGAGTCTCTTGTGTGTTCTGAAACTCGTGTTTCAAGATACCATCCGGTTTGACCAACATAGGTTGGTCAATGTTTACACTGTATTGGATTTAATTTTTTGTGGTGTTTTAGTTTTTTGATTTGAGAAAAAATCTATCCAACTGTATTTTCATCAGAAGTTTTTCAGTTTTGATAAACTTTCCAAGTTTATCAGATAAGTTTTCTTCAAATGGAATTTTGTGACATTTGGGTTTCACCCCCCCGTATTTTGGGAAGAGGAACTTCTTTCTTTAATTATTTTTCTAATGAGGACTCTAGGAAAAGTATTTTTTACTAGGTAGTTCTCAATTATTTGTAATTGCTCTTGATTTCAAATTTCTTATAATGAATTCATTATTTCTTGTAAAATTGAAAACGACAACAATCGTATTAGTTTTGTGGGAAGTGCGTGAACGAAAATTCATCGTTACAGTGCCCTGAAGAAGAATTTAATTAAATTCGAAACGTTGACTAGAAAAATTCTTTTTTTGAGAAAAATTGATTCTGTTACACAAACAACCTTTTTAAAGTAAACTAAAAAGTTTGCCCTTTCTACTACACGTGTATAAAGTTCATTACAATGTTCAGATTGTGGAAGGAAGTCGATAAAAACTGATTTTCCGCCACAAAAAAACGACACTCGTTTAATAGTATATTCTTGTACTTTCTAGTAGTCGATTTTATTGAATCCAGGAAAAATAATGTCAATAATTAGGTGGTCCATGATAGCATCATGAAAACAGACTACATATGTATAAAGCAATTGATTCATAACAAGATAATTTTCATGAGAACCTGAGACCTTCAAGAAATAAAAAAATCTGTGTTATCTCAGATGACTGCATGAGTTTATGGAATGATCCGCGTGCAATACTTTATACTGTAAATATGAATTCAAGTTTAAACTTAGCTGGAGAGAGTTCATTGAAATTGTTGCCCAACATTGCGAAGATCGATCAATAGACAGTATAATAACGTGAATGTTGAGACATTTTTCAGAAGCTTTGACTCTGTTTCGGTACTCTATTGATTCGAAGTTCGTGGTTTTATAAATATATATTCCTACATCCTTTTATTTCAGTTAAAGGATTTGATTGTTTACTTTTGTACCAGTTATTCAACGCTCTTAAATGAACTAATGTCGTACTTCGCGAAAATTTTCATAGTTTTCCCTGCAAAGAATTTTGTGCCTGAACAAAAGCGTGGAATTTTTTCATTGCTGTGCCTTTATCAAAATTTCTGTTACTAGTTTTTTTTTCTATTATACTATTGACGTGAAAATATTAATACAAAACTTACATGAATTGAAAGACTAGTTAAATTAATATAGCAACTATATTTTAAGATTCACTTACATGATATACATACCTTGAATTGTAAAAAATATTGAAATGTTCATCAAAGGGAAGAGATGAACGGTCTGTGATTGGAAATTCCCAACAGGAGCGTATTTTTTTCAAACAGAACTTCAGTTTTGTGAAGTTGAAATGGCGAGGCAATAACCCGGAAAGAGTTATTGTAATTTCCGGGTGACGTGTCGCATAGTTTGAAGGGTGGGACCATTTATGTCTTTGCTGCGATGTTTGTCAAAATTGGCAGATGAACCAATTTTAGTGAGTACCTATTTGACGTTATAAAAAAAATTGACAAATTTATTCGATTGAACCTAATTCAAAAACCATTGTTGATATTGTATTTACTTAAATTTTTATTAGAAAGATTATTACATTTTTGTGAATATGTATTATTTCTTTTTTTGTTTCTAAGTTTTAGTTACTACACAAACGGATTTTATATATTTTAGGTCCATGATTCGTTTTCCTTTTTTATAGTAGCTCGTAGGTGTTCAAATTTTTTCGGTAGTGGATTGTATTGCAACGTCCACACCCTCTGAATGTATCCCAATTGTTGGATTAGTGATTTGTGTATGTTGCCATCGTCTTGCTTATGTAATGTAAGTTGCAATATTTTTAATTTCTTCCATTTTAGTTGTTTTATTGAATGTTTTATATGATTTTAAAAGTATAATAAATATAAATCTAAAAATGGTTTTTTATTTCGCTTGAGAATTAATTTTGGGTAAGTATGTGTTTTGTGGAAGTAATGAATTTAGTTAGCTACTAAGTAGGTAAAGTGCTGTACGTGCAGTGGTGAAAACTGTGAGGTGTCATAATATGTACTTACTGGTTTTTTTTTATGAAAAGGAAGTTACCATTGAGATTGTAGTGGGTATCGAAAGATTCAATGATAATTTTCATTTCATTAGTTCAGACTTCCATTGTCTGATATTATAGATAGACCATATTAATGAATCCTAACCTAAAAGTATTTGCATGCTTATAATTGCTGTAAGTTTGTTTCTTCATGTTCATATCCTATGGATTTGTAATTTTTACCTCTCTACAGTCAATTATAAGCCTGTAGTTGGTAAATGATGAGAAAGAATTACGGAGACTTGTTATAATTTTATACCTCGATGAGAGTTTCGTCATGAACTCACTGTATAGTGTTTTCTCAACTTCATGAAATTTATTAGTATTTTTATATATTTTTCATTCCTTGGAATTGCAAACATGTTGCAATTGCTTGGATACCCATGGTTACATCCAGGAGCAAAACAATGCACCATTTTCAGATTTTCGAAATAACATTTTTCCAGCTCAACTTTGTCGGTATTAACACGTGAATTTTAAATATCCCGCTAACTTTGTTGCCCCACCAGTAATATACCACTCTTCAATCTAAGACATGCGTTCCATGAATTTTGCAATGCATTTTTATATTGACAAATTCATACAAAATCATCCATATTTTTCAATTATTTTGTATCAAACAGATAAAAGAAACTCCATTTCATCTTTTTTATGTAAAATCAGTTCTAAGGAATAAGATTGAATATCTGAAAAAAGGCGACAAAGTCGAAGAATTTTTAGTCCCATAAGATTTACATGCGAAATTAAACGACAGGTTTCCGTGATGGACCTGAGTTCAAATTTCGCGCTCAAAAAATCCTAAGTTAGTCTTCTTCTTTTTCCGTCAATGGCTTCAGCTGACAGGGCTACCCAGCCAGGAGTTCCAAAATCATATTGCTACTAAACGTGGATCTGAGTCGAGCCCAAACCCCACCTGGGTTTGCGCTAAAACAAAGTTCAAATGTAATTTGAAGTCAATTGACTATAGTGTTAACACTAATGTGAGGTGATACACTACGGCTAAAAACAGTAAACCTCAAATATGGACAGTATAAATATCAGCTTCTTCTTCATGTTCCCACTTTGGGAACTTGGCACCAGTCACTGAGTACTTGATAACTACAAACATCAGCTCCCATAATAATCGACACTGAAGACAAATACAGAGAGCCAACTTAGAAAAACAATACAGTTGCCCAATATGGTGCATTCAGTCCACAATGTATTTGTCCGACTGATGATCTACTTAATTTGTAGAAATTTATATTGAATATATTCCACAATGGATTAAAACTCCAAACCTATCTCGGGAACTCACTTTAATCGATATAATTTGCACCTAAATACAAAAATTGGAATTCTATTCAATATCTCATGTGTATCGAAATAATAAAATTGAATGCTAGTCAGCTCAACGTATAGCGATCAGCCCGGACTCCAGCAGTTTCTGTATCTTGGCAGCAATGTCAGGATTCTTCAAATGGTCTTGCAGAGCCCTCGGGTCATTCTGCATCTGCTCCAAGATCATCCTCATCGCTGGGTCCCTGAGTATGGCCTGCACCTCGGGATCGGCCATCGCGCGCTGCCTGATCTTCTCCGGGTCTCCGTCAAGGTTCGCATTCTCTATTGTGCAAGCCCTGTAGCCCTGAAGAGCCTCTGCGTTGCTGGGGTCCAAGTCGAGAGCCTTCTGGAAGGCGACGATGGCTTTGCTGGCTTGCTGCATACCCTGCAGAATGTGTCCCTTGCGAATCCAGCCTTTGATGAATTTCGGGTCCAGCTCGACGCATTTATCACAGTCTTTCAGTCCTAAGTCGAAGGCGGCTAGTTTGGTATAGCAAGCGGCACGGTTGCTGTAGAGTTTCGCGTCTTCCGGGTTGCGCTTTATAGCTTCCGTGTAGTGCTTCACGGCAGTGGCGTAGTCCCCTTTCTTGAATAACTCGTTGCCTGAATACAAAAAAAAGGGTTACCTCAAAATTAGGGTTCAGGACATCACAGGGTTCAGTACTGGGACCACTGCAATTCATAATATACTAAAACAATCTACTAACTTTTCTCGACACTGCTGATGTTTTCATGACATGCAGCTGACTCGACCTTTTTAGTTAGAGCTAAAAATCTAGAAGAGACAGTGTCAAGTGAGACACTGTCCCACATTTTGGAACATTTACTAAGGATTGGAACACATTTTGTGAAGATTTGGTGGAAAATACTCAAACAGCTTGTAAGTCCAAAAACTAATAGAAATACGTTTACTGATGGTATTTATTTTAAAATAAATGGTCAGTCAGTCATTCATAAAAATAATCTAGATATTGCAGAATCATTTAACAATTATTTTATTGATAGCGTATAAGAAATTGTGAACACTATTGATCAATCTGATTCACTTCATGAGAACAATGTTATATCGATTAACAACTCCTTTGAGAAATTCAAAGTGTTGGAGATAGGCAGATCTGTCTAAATTGATCAACGGGGTGGAAATGAAATACAGCAGTGAAATACTTAATTGCAAACTTATTAAAAAAACGTTTGGTTGTTACAGGACATGCATTGTTCCATTTTATAAATACATCTTTTAGCACTGGCAGATTCCCGAAAGAGCTCAAGACCAGTTTGTGCCAATTCAGAAAGTCCCTAACACAAATAAATCCTGGGAATTTAGACCAATCAACACTTTGCCTTGTATTGAAAAAATATTAGAACTCGCAGTTTATAATCAACTCATTGAATATCTAGAAAATAATGATATTTTACTAAAATATCAGTCAGGTTTCAGAAAACACCATTCATGCGAGTCTGCATTACAAGTCACAATATCAAAATGGAAAGAATCAATAGATAAGGGACATTATATTATAGCCGTATTTTTAGATCTTAAAAGAGCGTTTGAGACAGTTGATCGCCACATATTACTAAATAAACTGCAAAGTATTGGTATCAGGGAAACTGTTTTGTTATGGCTGACTGATTATTCATCACAAAAAGCAGGTAACCAAAATAATATCATTTTCGGGGTACCTCAGGGGAGTGTTTTGGGACCTATATTATTTTTAATCTACCTGAATGATATACATACCATCTATGGTTGTGATTTCATGAACCTTTTTGCAGGCGACACTTTGTTATCAATTTCAGGAGATAATATAGAAACAGTAACTGATCAAATGAATAATGAACTAAGAAATGTTTTCAAGTACATGAATAGCAATAAACTAAAACTCAACACCTCCAAAACAAAATATATGATCTTATCATTTGACCAAAATAAGGTATTGGCTTTACATGTTAAGTACATTGTAGTGTCTGTCTGTTTCCCAGAGACTGTATGAGTTAGCAATAATATTTATTTTCAAACCAACACATAACTTGCTTCCAACTTATTTTGAAGAATTCTGTAACGATAGTTTTTAACTGACTTACGCATATTTTTATCTTTACTTATTAAGGAACTCTCAAGTTGTTACATTTTATGTTTACTCTTTTATAAACTTAACTTTTACTCTTTTATAAACTTAACTTTTACTCTTTTATACATACATATCTTTTATATCCTCCATTTCAACATAGTTTGTACCCATGCACCATTTATATTTTTATTTCAGTTGGTATATATTGCATTTTAAGCTTTGTCTACAAGATTATGTCTTATGATAATAAAGCATATTAAAAAAAAATCTCAAATCCATAATCACTTAACAAGAGCGAGTAGCTCCCAAAAATTCCACCTTCCTCGAACTAATTTGACTAGTACGATGAAGTCTTTATTTTATAAAGTTTTGATGAGTATAACAAATTCCCACTTTCGTTGAAAGATTCAATAAATGTTTTCCAATTAAAAAAAAACTCATGAACTATATAAAATATCATACTTGATTTTCTTTTCTCTGTTTGGTAATATATTTATTATGTATATCCTCATGTTGAAACCATACTGGAATAATTGAAAAATGGTTTTTATCATTATTTTTTCTTCTATCATATCATATTGTTGTGGAATTGGCCGCGGTGGTAGTGCGCCCGATTCACGATCGGAAGGTCGTGGGTTCGATTCCCGCCTCGACCAGATATTTTTCTCGAGAGAATTTATCTGGTTGGAGCTGGGACGATTCTGCAACCGTGTTAGGAATCACACGTTAAAAGGTAAGACCTCGTTGGTACTTAGCTCGCACAAGTTTCTCAACTTCTGAGAGTTGTCGTTCGTATGGGGGCGACAGCTGATTAATGGAAAAACAGATTTTAAAACAGATCATTTTTGTTATTTGTCATTTATATATTTTCAAAATAATGTTATGTATATTAGGATGTCCTAAAGAAATCAATAAATATTATTATTATCAAAGCAAAAACATGCATCACAAAAGTTCTCAGGGTTCAAATCCTTGCCTCCTCATAAATCTTGGGAAAAAAAGCGAGTGAAGCACACATTCATGAGCCTTTGCTCATAAATGAACATTCTAACCTTAAAAAAAAACTCACCGATCTGTTTCTCCTGTTCCGCCAACTCGGGATTAACGTAAGATTTAATTTCCTCCTCTTTGATAACTTTCTCAACGTTCGACAGCAACGTTTTGATTTCAGGCGTCCTGTGCTCGGACATGCTCTTCTCAAAGAAGATCTTGGCAGTTTTATAGTCTTTCAGCTTTTTATAAGCGTTCCCGATCCTCATGAAAGATTTGGCGATCAATTTAAAGTCAGCTCTGTTCTCTCTGCCGATTTCGATACCTGAAAACATTCTCTTTCATTAATAATCGTACTCAAGTGCTTCATCGCTGTTTTAGCTCACCTTTCTCACACTCTTTTATGCATTTCTCGTATTCTTTTTGTTCGAAATATACGGCAGCTAGATTGTTGTAGAAGGTTATATCTGTGGGGTCGTGCTCTATGGCTTTGGTGTAGTGGACGATGGCGTTATCGAAATCCTTTTTCTTGTAGAAGTCGTTTCCTTTCTCTTTCTCCGCCTTGGCTAGCCTCTTGTTTTCTGGTAGGTCTGGCTCGGGCTCTTTCTTAGGTTCAGGTTTTGGTTGCGGTTTTTTTGGAGGGGGGGTATAAGTTGGTTCTGAAGTGTCCATCGGTTCATCCATACCTGGATCGATACCTAAAAAAAAATAAGTATTAAAAAAAATATCTGACAGCGAAAATAACGTTTTACAAACTCAGAAACGTCAAGGAGACACTTCTCTTCAGTCAATTTTGAATCATCGTCACAATGATTACTCTCTATCAAGTCTAAAGTAGAGAACTTCGACTTGGATACTACTTTTTCTACTATTTTTCATAACAGTTCGTTACTTCTTTTTTGCACACTCTTTAAAAACAATAGTAACACTTAATTTCCATAGACAAATTGGATATTTTGAAATAAAATCTCAGAATATTCATCTCACACAACTGCCTACACCAACTACTTCCCCGGCTAATACCACGCTGGATATTGTATTATATCCGATAGACATTTATGCAATAATGAAAGAAGCACAGACCTGAGGATTATTAAAAAATTCTGCTAGCGTATAATGACAAGTTTCTAACAGATATGCTTTCTGTATTTTCTTGAAATTGTACAACTGCTTTGAAGCCTTCTAAAAACCTGGAAAAGTGTTGTAAATTTTTGGACCAATGTACTCTGGCTCAGTCACTTTCAATTTTGCCATATACACGCATTTCAAATATATAGACGGATGGTAAAGTTGAAATTTTATTCAAGAACGGTTAGTTGAGTAACAGAAACAATTTTATGTTATGGAATCGGCAGGTACTTGATGAAAATTCATAAGTTATTCAAGAAAAACATGAGATTTTCACTACACACTTTTACAAATACAAAAACCACATATTTCTCTACACAGTAGCTTATTCAGGCATGTTAATACACTTACACGATCAACAAACACATTTACATTTCATACAAACTTCAAAACCGTTCAAAGACAATGTACCACGCTTAGTGGTATTTACAAATTTAATAAACACACTAAAGAAAGTCCTGATGAACGTCTCAATTTGTATTTTCAGATTAACTACGTATGTACTTTTGCGTCACCTTTTATGATATTCTCAATATATTTTTTTCCAATTTTCGTTGGTATTCATGTATTGCAAATTTATACAGAGTGGTCCAACGAAAAGTATGCACCTTGCTTTCCCCCTTTTTTTGTAACTTAACGCAAAAATGCTCGGACAGGTCAATTTTGCTTTTGAGGGGGACACATTTTAGATGTATTTTTCTACCTGTGCCTTCAACCCCCTAGCGAGGGTGAGTAACAACCCTAAAATTTTAAATGGAAAGTGGGGTCGAGTGATATTATCATTTGAAAGGGCACAAAATTATCTTTTCAATGATACAACATGTAGATATTATGAAAAAAAACAACTACAACCCAGTACTTTGAAATGTGTAATTGACTTAGTAGAATCCTACTTCAGCAAGTGCTGAAAATGTGACCCATTTGCTTCCATACAATAATACAGATTTTGTTCAAATCTATCCCTAACATTCTGTAGCATATCAGGTGTTATACTTCTGCACTCTGCTGTAATTCGTTGGCGAAGATCTTCTACGGACTCGGGCTGCGTAGCAAAACATTTATTTTTCAATTGTCCCCAAAGGAAAAAGTCTAAAGGCGATAAATCAGGAGACCTGGCAGGCCATTCGATGGGGCCTCTCCTTCCAATCCACCGTCCAGGAAACCGGTCATCTAAAAACTCTCTTACCGGAGCAACATAGTGAGGAGGTGCTCCATCTTGCTGGAAATGAAGCCGATCATCATTATGATTTGGGTCATTTTCAATTATTTCTCTTATGAGAGGATCAATTGTATCTTCAAGCATGTTCAGGTAGACCTCACCAGTTAAATTCCCATTACTGCAAGTTCCTCTTCATCGATTGAAGAAAACACAGCAAGGATGCGATTATTGGGGCGCAAAATTATATAATATAATTCCAGACTTTGCAAAAAAGAAACACTCGAATGAATTCTCCATCTGGCTGAAAAATGTCCTAATAGAAAAATGTTTCTATTCAATAGAAGATTTTATAAATGAATAATACATGTACTACATCTCTTGTAGGTTTACATGTGCATGATAATTTTGTATATATTTATTTATTTTATTTTGATCTGTGCATCTCTGTGTATATGTATTTTAATTTTAATACTAAGGAAATAACGACGTTGTAATGTTTCATTTACAATGAATAAACTGATTGATTGATTGATTGAATAAAAAGTGGCCCTACGATATGACTACCTAATATGCCACACCAGACATTGATTTTTTGAGGTTACTGGGTATGGACCTCTCGAAAAAAGTGTGGGTTACTGTCATCCCAGTAACAGCAATTAAGCCTATTCACAGCTCCATTAAAAAAAAATGTATTCTCATCGGAAAAGCTCGTGTTGAATGATAGGTGCGGATCATCAATTAGTAGCTGGCTCAGTTGTTCACAAAATTGCAGCCTTCTATCAGGATCATCTTCATTGAGTTCCTGTACTAATTTAATTTTGTACGGATGAAATTTATAGGCTTTTAATATCCGCATTATGGACGAACGGGAGACACCTGAGGCTGCAGCAAGCTGACGGGTACTTTGAGTATGATCCAATTCAACATGTCCCAAACAGCGACTTCCACTGCTTCATTTCTGATCGGTTTCCGTGGCTGGTGTTTCACATTACAGACAGATCCGGTATCGACAAACTTTTGGACTAACTTGGCGTACGAATCATTCACATTTTTCCAGGGATGACTGTTATTAAAGAGGCGAGCAGTAAGTCTAGCACAACTATTATGTTGATAATGAAGTTTAACAATTTCAACTCGTTCAGGAATGGAATAAACCATTTTTACAGTAAAGTTGAAATAATTTCAAAAGCAACCGAACTGAATCAATGAACGTTTGCCTAAATTCTTTTTGTACACTTATCTGCTGTTGTTATTTGAACCAAAAAACGCACGAGAGAAATTGAGAAATGTAGTAGTGATAAAAATGCCGTTTTTTACGCATTTTCATTAACACCAGAAATATTGAGTAAATTTTCTTGCTTTTTTTATAACTATTCAAGTAAATACAACAAATTAGGTGTCATTGGAAAGAGAATTTTGTGCCCTTTCAAATGATATATCACTCGATCCCACTTTCCATTTAAAATTTTAGGGCTGTTACTCACCCTCGCTAAGGGGTTGAAGGCACAGGTAGAAAAATACATCTAAAATGTGTCCCCCTCAAAAGTAAAATTGACCTGTCCGAGCATTTTTGCATTAAGTTACAAAAAAAGGAGAAAAGCACGGTGCATACTTTTCGTTGGACCACTCGATAAAAGTTCTGCTCAATCGAATCTCTCTTTAACAAAATTCCTAATAAAAAGTCTTTGTTTCGTAATATGAAATGCTTCTTAAGAAAAAGAAAATCAAATTATGCAATATGAATAAGTTTTACGGTGTTGCCAAGTTCTTATCAAATGTTAGTGACTTCAAATTATAAATTGGTTTATATGTATGCCATATCAGTTTCATTAGATTTACACTCGAAAAAAAATTTCACTGAACATGCAACAAAAATAAAAAGAAATCAAATTAATTTGATTAGTACGCCTTGGTCAAAGACGGAACGGACTGGTTTAAGTTTGACGATAGTCGTGTCACAAAGTGTAATGGCGATGTATTGAAATTATTGGAGCCTCTGGAGACACACTACATTTTGTTTTATGAGAGAGAGGACATTGACAGATCAAAATCTTCAGATGATGTGGTGCTGCAGGTTTTTCCGGGTTTTCCTGCAGCTGAAAAAGCAAATGCGCCACTGGAATCAATTAAGTCGCCCCGGAGCACCAATTAATTTTTATTGTTGTTTTATAATTTCACAAACTGAAAATAAATTAAATTTGAAATCTATGCCAACTCAACTATCGTTTTAGAAGTGAATTGTAATTATTATTCTGACATTAAATTTGGATCAAATCAACTGAAAAAATATTAAGGAGCATCTTTTATTTACTGAGTTAGGCAAACAACATTCTGTACAGAAAAAAAAATGAAAGTTAGATCCATAATGCAAATCGTCACAAAGTGTATAAAAAAAAGAATGAAATTAGAATGAGTAAATAAAAATGTATAGCCTTCGAGATATACTCATAATTCTCACCCATTAAAACACTCAAAGTAGTCAAAACCCTGGGATCTTGCAGTTTACTTCCCAATGACTGAGGATTCGACTGAAGTTCATCAAGCAAAGCTCGATAACTAGGATCATTAAGGTAGTCCCTAGTCCGGGGATCGAGCTTAAGCTTTGGTATAACGTCTGGCCCACTAAATGGATTGGGGAACGATCTGTTTTTGTGGATTTTCCGCTTTTTCACCTGCAAACCCAATAAAAACGTACAATTAGAAATGATACAAGCAAGGTTCTCAACATATACATACCTCTTCTAGACCATCTCGCAACAGGACACTGCTCGGATCCATTTCCAAACCTCTTTCGTAAGTCGCTAAGGCTTCGTCCAGTCTGTCAAGATAAATTAAAGCTGTAGCTCTCCTAGAATATCCCTTAGGCCAGTCCGGTTTGATTTCTATAGCCTTATCGGCGTCTTTTAAAGAAAGTTCATACTGGTCGCCTTTAGCGTATGCTGCAGACCTATTCGAATATAGAACAGCATTATCAGGATCTAATTTGATAGCTTCTGTATAATGCTTGACGGCCTCTTCTATTTTGTCGGCTGCGAGAGCTGCATTTCCTTTATCTTTAAGTGCGGCGACCTATGACAACAATGTGCTTACAAAGGATATTTCATGTTTATCGTGAAAAAACTGTTAATACTTGCGGGGTTAGGATTTATTTCCGAGTCGAATGAAGTTGTATCGTATTTCTTACCTGATCCATATTCACTGGACAATAACTATACGAAAAAAGTCAATAATTTATGAATGATTCCTCAAGAATCGTTCTCGTTCTTTCTTCAACTTTCCAGAAATTTCTCCTACTCTGACACTATTTGATCAGCTTCTTCTTTTTTTCTTTGGCGTTGTTGCCAAACACTTCAAGGATTCATCGTCCAAAAAAAAAGTTCGATAATAACCTGATTATTACAATAGTTGTCAAAGTTGAAGTTAGGGAATATTCACAAGAAAATACAAGAAAGTTAAATGATTAAAAAAAAAACTAATCAATACAGTTTATTGTAGGATTTTCACTATAAAAGTGTTTTACAAAAACCACGACAAATGTTTCGCTATGCAATAGCTTTCTTGAACATAAACTATGCTTGAGAAAGCTATTGTATAGCAAAACACGTGTCGCGGTTTTTGTAAAACCATTTTATAGTGAAAATCATACAATAAACTGTATTTATTAGTTTTTTGTTTTCTAATATGAATTTTCATCAAGTATCGGCCAGTTCTATTCAATTAATAATTTAGATACTACTAGAAACGTACATAAAGCCATTAACATCAAAATGGTGATTATAAGTGTGAATGTTTTTATCCTCAAGTCGTTGTGGAATGAAAGCGGTAAAAAGTTGAATTTTAGTTTTGTGGTTATAACATCTAACACATTTTTTTGTTCTGGTTAGGATTTTCATTCTAAGAACAGGTGTAACTTCCTGGAACAACTAACTATATTTACGGCTTGACATCTGACTTGTCGAAATTTGTTGGTTTAGCTCAGCTGGTCAATGAAGGGAGAACACTGGTTCCAAAAACTGAAAAAGTGATCTACGTTTGGCCAGTGAACATACATTTCACGTTTGGCACATACACTTGAACCATTGTCTAAATCTTTAGACAATGATTGACTGTCAGATTCGATGTCAACGATGTTTTACTTGTTGCATACTTTCATTGTGGAAATTTCAAAAAAAAAAATGGCAAATACTACTGTACTGATTTACTGTGCTTCATTTAAATATTGTTCAATTAGGTACATATTAATGATTAACAAATATGCAACCCATATTACAATGAAGTAGCACAAGCACATTCTTTTGTGCAGTAACATCATTTCCAAAACTTTCTGTTATCCTCAGTGGAATATAATGTAAAAATGACGTAACAACAATGACCAGTCCATATTATCATGTCTATGGTTTAGCTGCGAAATTTTTGAGGTTAGAGAACTGGAATAAAATTTATAAACTGTATTTAGTGAATTTGTCGAAAAATTTAAAAAATGTTGATGAACATCACCTCCAAGTTTCGAAGTTGTGCCTGCGTCGGCATAGCTAGAAGTTGCTCTACAGCACTTTTGACTAACGAAAAAATAATCGAACCAAGAACTATAACCTTCCCTTCAAAGTATCAAAAAAACAGGCAAGTTTGGTTGGAGAGTTTAGACACAATAGACGAAAGGAAACTAGGATTGCTCGAACTGCATCCTAAAGTATTTGCTGTGAACCCTCGAATCGATATTATCCACCAGAATGCCAGATGGCAAACGATGTATCGATTCGTCAGCTACGCTCACACCAAAAAGAGGTTCGAAGTTAGAGGAGGAGGCAGAAAACCATGGCCGCAGAAAGGTTGTATCCATGTTTCCAAAATCTCTATGTATCTGTGATAATTAGTAGAGCACCGACATAAAAAATACCTTTTTGGTGACCATTTTTCAAGATCAGCACAAAACACAGTTTTTTCTTCTTTCTTATTTTGTGCATGGAAGAAGTATTCAATTTAAGATAGTTTTATCAGTTTTGTATGATATGTTGATGTTTTATTCAGTTAGTAGTCTACTTATTATTCACTCACCTGTTTTATCAAAATGAGTACTTTATCAAAATTCTCTGTTGATATAAGAATACTAATTGGTATACTTTTTGGTATGTCCTTGAGCTCACTTTAATGCTGCTAATCTAATGTACAAAGCATGCGAAATTTGAACATTCTCGTTATTTCTGGAACAGTCCACATATATATGTACATCAGGATACCTACCTTGATAATGAGATAAAAGATTATTCATTCTAGGACTGGGAAAAGCCCGACATGGATCCATAAGGAGCCCCCTGTTCAGAGGAGGTGGTGTTATTCACGGTCCCAGATCCCCCACTCCACATTTTTACATGCTTCCGTTTTTCACTAGAGTACTTGGCTTGACCTCTACCCTCTCGGTGAAATTTGCTCAGGATGATTTGCACGTTGTTGATAGTTTGGAAGTGCCTTCAGAAGAGAGAGGGTATTTGGAAGAATTGGTAAAAAGTCGAAATTGGGGACCTTCTGTATTGTTTGTAGATGTGTAAGTTAGCTGAATTCGTTATTAAATCAGATTTTTACAGTGTGAGTAGCACTAGTTCGTTTTGGTTTTCAGCGAAGACATCATGCCCAGGAACATAACTGTTGCCACTGACAATATTAAGCATTACAATTTGATGCCAGCGTATGGGTTAAATGTGTATTCAATGTTGAAGCATGACACATTGGTCCTGACCCGTTCTGCAGTCGATCATATAGAAAACAAAATTTTGGAGCTTCTACACAGGAACGATATTAGAACATTAATTGCTAAATTTAAAATAGATCAGGCTTGAATGTTTTATTAGTGAATAAATGTTGAAGAAAAGTTTATTGTGTTTCGCCTGAGAAAGTATTTAGATTTATACCATTCTACTTTATAATGGGGAATGTTCCTCCTGACGAAAATCATGTAGTTCTCATAAAAGAGCTCTAAAACAACGCATTTTAAACTTATCATTTCAACCTTTTTCTTTAAAAAATTATTTAAATATTTAAAAAAGAGGAATGAAATAATGCATTCAACATTTAAAAGGATTTGTTTCTATTTCACCATTTGGCAACTTCGGTTATAGCTAATAAAGGACAATGAATCTGTTACTTGTATGAGACAAACAAAGATGATATATTTCAGAGGCACGCTGTTCTCTTTACTTATGTTCTGTGACATATGACATTTTGTACACCTAACCTATCTTCCTCTATATAAATAAATAACAAAACAACTGTTGTTTATGTGGCTTGTGTAGGTGGCATTGCATTTGCATCAATAACCCAAATTGAGGAACATTGTCCATTACCTAAAAAAAATATTGAATTTGCTGATTGGACTAAAACTCCCTCGAAATTTCTGTAGTGAAAGTATTGTGGTCGGAAATAATCCATTGTTTACAAGATAAAGCTATAGATCGTAAGTTAAACTAGTTTTCGGAGTTGAAACATTTATGTAGACTGAGAGCACAGATTATAACCACATTTGGATGAGTATCTTGACAGCTCCCGCCCTTTTTTGTTCACTTCCTTAGACAGCCACGTGAGCGCTGTGCTATACGTCAATTGTACTATTGCTGATAGATGGCGGTTGGCACATCGAAACTATTTGTTTTGTTAATTGACATTATTTATTTCAGAATCCACGTGTTGTATCGCCGGTGAAATACATGTTTTTGTTATTTGTTTTGTTTTTGTTTAATTTTATTTTTTCACAGAAGCCAAGTTTTCGGTTTTCATATATCTACATTTCAATAGATGTAACATTTTTTCTTATTTAATCAAAATCGTTTTTTTACTAAGAGAGTAACATATTTTATCTGATATAACGAAAGATTGTTTTGACATTAGCATTAGAGACTAAACGACACAATGAAAGAATACAATTCAATGGTTTTTGGTGCATTTTACTAGTTCTGCAATTACTTGCCTTTCTGACCAACAATTTGTATCGATGTATTTCTCCAATTAATAAATCTAGATCCTTGTTGAAAATTCAAAATTTACCGCCAAATTTCACTATCGATAAAATAGTTCCCTTTTCTATCTGAATGTAGTTAATTAGACATCCACTGTGGCGCATTAGGATTTGTCCCGACCATGTGTATTGTTTCATATCATATAATACAAACGTTGTTGTAATCTGTGACTGAAACGATCAACCTACAAATTTTTTTTTTCAAATCTGCAAACTGAGATCAACTATAGTGCCTTCAACGAATTAAGTGGATGAACGTTGTGTGCAATGTTGTGCAGCAGACAAGTTTTTTGTCTACACTGTCTCGTTATAATGAGCTTTCAAAATTTTGTTTTGAGAAACTGATACTTTTGATCATACATATATACACAATATCTCACGTACTTTATGTAAAATCATTCCTGTCGAAGTATAAAACTATGAATGTGTTGATGCTCACCCAATGTTTTCCTTATGTATGAAATTCGATTAACAGTACCTAGATGTCGCCTTCTCCTTGATTATCACGAACATTATAATTCCAGGTATCAATCTTTACTGATTTTTCCTTAAAGCTGTCAAATACTCGCTTTTTGATTCATACAATGATAATATTTTACTTATTCGGATTAGAATTTTTCATTTCTTGGAAAGTCTGTCAGACATTCTTAAAGCCAAATGGGGAGGTGATCTATGAGACTCTAAATTTACAAAGTAGAATGTGGAAATTTGATACTTGTCTTCATTTATTCAACATATATCCACATTTCGTATATAAGTTCATGGAACGGCCTTCGTTGGCTCCATCGAATTCCGAGCACATAATTTTCAGGCTGTTGGAATTAATCAATTTGTAGTAGCACCCCGTTTCTCTTTCAGACATACAAATTCATATTTAATGAATGCATTATTTAATTTCCTACACGAAATGGCCGTGGCTTCAGATCTGGAGAGTTTTGTGGCCACTTTGTGAACTTAAATTTCAAAAACTTTTCTGCTCTTCTCACGTGGTAGTTTGAAATGAAACAGAGCCTTCGATAAAATAAATTACTATATTTCATAGACCTAACATGTAACATGACAAATCAGACCATGTAATTCTTAATAAATAGTCAAAAAAAAGATAGCTGGAACAATTTAGGAGTTATAACAGAACACATACTATATTCATTAGTCTTTACATTTAAACAATTCCTACACTCCTTTCAACACTCAGCCATGTCAAAAGACTAGACAGGATCCCCTCCGCAGGTGACAGACCCCTGTAGAACATTTTAAATATTAAAATGTTTACAGGCGCCAGTATATTCTGTCACGGGCGGACGAAACAACGAAAATTTTCTGATACTATATCTGTATGTCTTATTAAAGCCATATGGAGATGCGGGTTTACGGGGCTGCATCACAGTTATTTTGAATTTTTTGGCAATTCCACCTCGCTCCATTTTTTCTGCTTAGCTTTGCCTTCAAGGCTCCGATTCTCTGTTCCCTGCAACTTTTGAAACCTCGCCTTTCTTCATGCGATCAACTTGTTCTAAGCGTTAGCCCCCACCAAGGAATCCATCGAAGGGGAGTTCTGCTCGTACATCTGCAAATAAAAAAAATCATCGATTAATCAAAGGCTCCTCTTGAAGATGATCACTTGGTGATAGAAACACGTGTCCAGTGTTAAAAATAACGATTTGTTGTTGGGAAGTAACTCCATTATCTTCATTGCAACAATAAAGGTTCGAAACTGTGCATCACAAGACAAATTTTGTTTTAAATGGACTTGTTTTGGATTGATTTATTATTGAACTGTTTGATGTGAACAAGACCGACGATATAGTCAAATATGAAACCTTTCAGGCTCCTAAACTACAAGTTACCATTTGGAGAGCTCGCTGCTTGTCTTAACATTTCAGTTGGAAGCACATATTTATTTTGGCGCGATGATTTTGCCAAGCCTCAGTGCTTCAATGAATATTTTTTCTGGAGAGTGTTTGAAGCATCACTTTTGAAGAACGTAGAGTTACTTTGGACTAAGTTGAAAGTTGTTTGAGAGTTTCATGAACGTCTAAACTAGTTTTTCAATAGCATTTCGTGGTTTGGAGTATCGTTGATGGCATTCCATTGGCTTCAACAAAAAAAAGTAATATCAATTCGTATGTTGCAATGCATGGAGAAATTGCATATTTATCCGAATTGATTGCATGTCAACAATCAATCGGAATGTCAAGGTGACTTCGAAATCGCAATCAAACCAAATAAGACCACTCCTACAATTGCTAATAACTAGGATACAAGTCAGACAAAAGTGCAGACAACATCAGATTTTCATTTCCTCGTTATTTGTTGAAAATGACAAGGAATTCTATAATCGACGCATGCATGAATATAAACGATCGATAATGTTACTTGTTTGGAGTAAAATCCACAATTACGCATCATGCTCGTATTCAAATCAGAATCTAGCCTTGTTCGATAATGAAATGGAAGTGACAGAGCTGGTTTAGATAACTTATATACTTCAGGGTCATTGTTGACTAGAAGAGAATTACGAAATAGTTTGTTTTCATCGAGTAATCAAATGTAATTTGAAATTATGATGGAAATAGCGAGTTGTTGGTTTTCTGTTTTCACAAACTGAACTGTTCGCACGTTCAAAGGCGAGACCTCGTTAATCCTAGACTCGCACTTCTGAGGGTTGTCGTTCGTAGGGGAGCGACTGCTGGTTAATGGAAAAAACAATTTTTGTAATCGAGTAAATCTATAGGTTTTTCCACTCGTTGCACGGTCCTATAAAAATAAGAAAATGAGGAAAAACCTGGCAACAGTATTAGCATCCTTCAAATTAATGTTGTTTATTCATAGCCATTCAAAAAGGTGTTGATATGTATACAAATTGGAATAAAGTGAAACTGATTGAGCTGTCATGTGAAGATTCTGGAATATTCTAACCTAAAAATTGCAGATCTTCGTGTTTTCAGCAGTTTCAATAAAAAAAAAAGAATGTAGAGTAAAAAATCAAGAATTTCTCTTTGAAAAATAATTTTCTTTCGTTCGGATTGGCTTAATTTCAGCAAAATTCCAATAAATTTGATTAAGTTATTTGCGTGGATCAGGAGGGAAAATAATTTTGACGGCAACTAGCAAACGTCTCCTCTGAAGCATGAATTATCACCATCACTTTCACCTTAATTATATGTTGTGTCCTCTCTCTCTCTCTAATTCTGTTAGACGTTGCTTCCCACTCGGGCGCATTTGTCCAGGCTCCTCCTGTCAAATATGACAGGAGCTTCGCCGGGGTGGGGGGGAGGGAGCGGTCTTGCTCGAAGCAATGCTGCCACCCCTTTTTTGTCGAGCTTTTTTACGATGAAAACAATTCAACTTTTTTATTGTCGCCTTTTGCTCGGAAGACCTTTTGATTTTTTTCTCATATATTTTTTGAGTCGCCTCCTCTTTGGGAGCCCTTCAATTTTTTAAATTCGCATACATGGCCCTCTTTACGTGGTTATCCGAACCACCCCGGCCTGGATACCGGCGTGAATAAAGGGGGCCCTCACTTCAGATTTTTGTCTAAACTTTCACATAAACTCTCAACATCTTTGTACAATAGACGATCACAACATAAATAGAAGCCCCATTATAGCACGTGGCATCCGCGTACCTTCTTTGTGGACGGACGTTATCGGCACGTCCGTCCTCTAGCACCACGAAACTCCCTGTTGTGTCGTCACTAAAACTACTGAAGTTATATAGGTTCTTTCAACAGGGACTCCGGAATTTTGACAATTGATAACGGTCATCTTATTGTCAAATTAGTTGACATTAGTATATACGGTTCGGAAACATTTATCTTTTAAGAGAAAACCGATGCCTGGATTTTTGTGGCATTGAAAAAATCAAGATGTTGGTTTTGAACTGTAAGACATGACCTTACATTTATCCGGGTTTAGCGACAAGTTATTTCGATAACACCATTCTACAACCTATCCTACGTTTGCTGAGAGGTTCAATCATCTATGTTCTCAACGAGGCAGTATAGTTTTAGATCATCGGCATACAAAAGGAAATACACATCTATAACATCTGCAATATCCTTAATGGAGTTATTGAAGAGCAACGGTCCAAGATTTGATCTTTGTGGAACACCGGAAGAAGTACTATATTCGGTAGATTTGAAACCATTGAGCTGAACATATTGTTTTCGATCCCGTAGATAGAACTGAAAGAGTGCGATTAAGGATGGAGATAATCCAAAGGGTACTAGTTTTTGGGAAAGAAAGTTTTTGGCCTTCTACTACTCCATCTTGATACGAAAAAAGAAGGATGAGGGAGTCTTCCAAAGAAAGGAAGGAAGTAACTCTATACATGGATGTGTAGATCATGCAAAGAAGTAACTTTCAGACACAAACTGAAAGAAAGTCCTCCTGAAACAGCTACTTCTATATGAACACTGAATTATACAGAAGATACTTTTCTCTACTCAGCTTGTTTTTCAAATATTCGTTGTGGAATAAAAATCAGATATCATTCACATAAGTTCTACTTTAAATGAAGGGTAACAAATTGCACTTACATGGAACACTGTCATCCTCACTGGTATACATCGATGTTTCGCCTTAAGACACTTGCTCCAAGGCTTTTCAGTACCAAATTGGACAACATTATAGAAAACACACACACTTCATTCATGAATTACGATTTTTTATTGTCACGGAATAAGCTTGATCTGCTTATGTCATCAATGACATCGTAATGACATTCATTCAACTAGTTTGTTTAGTAGAATGCCATGGTCAAGCCTGTCGAAGGCCTTAGAAAAGTCTGTGTAAATAACATCAGTTTGGGCCTTATTGTCAATAGATTCAGCAATATGTTGGGTTACAGTCAGAAGATTGGTGACCGTTGAACGATTTTTCATAAAACCGTGTTGGTTTATACTTATACTGCAACTTACATGCCGATATATAACTCGCTCCAGCAGTATCTCAAAAACCTATGCTAAGTTGCAAATAATAGAGATAGGCCGATAATTTAAAATATCTCGTCTATCTCATTTCTTGAAAATGGGACAGACTTTTGATGATTTCCAGATCCTTCGTATTGTAACCGATCTTAAGCAGATATTAATTAGTATAGATAGAGGAGGAGCAAGCACAAGTGCACAATTTTTAGCATGAAAACTGGAATGTCATCTGGACCAGTGGTCTTTTTACGCTAGAGCGACCTTAGTCCCTCACCGAAGCTTGATATATCAAGAAAGTGATTATTATTAATATCAGAGTTTGGTTGAAAAGGGGAAGAAACGGTATACGATTGTTGGCAGCAATTGACCTTTAAAATTCAGTACTTGTGATATTTTAGAGCTACCTCGTTTATTATTTATAAATGACCAAAATCTGTTATGTATTTCTTGATATGTATGATATCTATTTCTTCCTCAGTTTAACCCAAGAATTTTCTGTATGCCACATCAATATCATGCTTTATTTTTGCCCGAAGATGTTTGAAATCGTCAAGGGCCTGCAGATTACACTCACGCTTGTATTTGCGCCAAATTTTGGTTTTAGCCTGCAAATCTCTAATAATGCTTCTATTATACCAAGAAGGATATTTATTTTTGGATTAACTGTATACTTGGGACAGCAACGATCAAAAACATTATAAAGTTTTCCAAACGAATAAAAAAATTCGAAGATATCTCACAAACATTTTGTCTTATTTCAATTTGAAGATAGAAAGCACTTAATGAAAGACCCTATATTTCCCAAACTAAACTTTTTTCTACTACGAAACGTAACTCCCTTCAAAAAAATTAAAATATCAATAAATATACACACCTCATCTTCGCTGTCGAACTCGCCGTTGACCTCATCATCGCTATCGAAGTCATCTTCGTCATCACTGGGTAACGGCGATGGAACTCCTCTATTCCTCAAGGACATCTTGATGGACTCGGACACGTCCTTGCTGACTTCAAGGACGTCTCTCCCTTCGTACGTCAGTACGTCGACGTCGATATTTTTACAAGTGAGCAAGTACTGCACGAGGGCTTCATCCCTCTGCTCCACCGCGTAGTGAAGGGCGGTGTATCCCGTGCAACCCTGTCTGGCGTTGATGTCGGCTCCGTACCAGACCAAATGTTTCAGAACCTCTACGTGTCCACGGATCGCTGCTACGTGCACGCAAGTCTGACCTGCAACAACAAAGACATTATTATAATCTTTACCAGAAAAATTGTGCTGGTCAGTCCCTTTCTCTGAAGCTCCGGCATCAATAACCACTCCCCAGGCCTTGAGGTGAGCGATCACTTGGTTTGAGAGAGATTTGGAAGAAGGGAAAGACTTACCACCTGAACGGGGTTGGCCAAAGTGATATACACTGTCCGCCACTCGCGATGGAACACCCCATTTTTACTGTGGACGGGCAGTGTATATCACTTTGGCCAACCCCATTCAGGTGGTAGGTGCATTTTGAGCATTTCCATCAGTCCTGAGAGTTTCATCGTTCCACCTCGAATATTACGGAAGATACGGGGGTGTTTCCATAAGAAGTGAGACAGATTCGGATTTTTCAGGACCGAATTTTTTTCAGGAAAAAAGTGTAAGCGTAGTAAGTTGGTAGTCCTGATCACGAATCTGAAGGAACTTTGAGCCTATTTGGCCCCGTAATATGTTTTACCGTAAAAATGGGGTGTTCCATCGCGAGTGGCGGACAGTGTATATCACTTTGGCCAACCCCATTCAGGTGGTAGGTGCATTTTGAGCATTTCCATCAGTCCTGAGCTTTTTATCGTTCTACCTCGAATATTACGGAAGATACGGGGGTGTTTCCATGAGAAGTGAGACACACTGTAGAGTTGTCCCGATATTTTGGGGTTATCTCCAGTACCACAGAAAAGGGTGGTGTTATCCACACAAATAATGAAACTTCCTTGAATCGGAATAGCAGCTGAATTGTTCAAATTATGAGTGTTTCTTTGCTGGTATCTTTTTGGCAACACTGTTTTTGACATATCACGCGTAAATCGTGTCTTGCGTCATTGTCAAACTTGTTCAGTTTGGTCTATAATTTAACCATGAATGGACTTACGAATGAACAACGCTTGCAAATTGTTGAATTTTATTATCAAAATTCATGCTCGGTGAAGAAAGTGCATCGGGCACTTCTTCCAATTTATAGGCTGTTTCGTCGGCCTACCGAGGGACCTATTCGGATGCTTGTGACTAAATTTCGAACCCAGTTTACATTATTGGACATCAAACCACCAACACGCATACGTAGAGTGAGGACCGAAGAAAATATTGCGGCTGTATCCGCCAGTGTTCGTGATGACCGTGAAATGTCGATTCGCCGCCGTTCGCAGCAATTGGGCCTCTGTTACTCCACTACGTGGAAAATTGTGCGAAATGATTTGGGTGTAGAACCTTATAAGATACAGCTGGTGCAAGAATTGAGCCACACGACCTCCCACAACGTCTAACATTTGGTGAATGGGCGCTGGCAAAGTTGGAGGAAGATCAACATTTTTATCGAAAAATTGTGTTCAGCAACGAGGCTCATTTCTGGTTGAATGGATACGTTCAAGCAAAATTGCTTGCAGTTCATCTCACGTTTGGGGCCCGTTAATTGGCTGCCTAGATCGTGTGATTTAACGCCTTTGGATTATTTCTTGTGGGGTCATGTTAAGGCTCATATCTACAGGGATAAACCAGCAACGACTGACGCTCTGGAAGCCAATATTGAAGTATTTATACGTGAAATAACGGTCGATATGTTAGAGAGAGAGAGTGCCAAAATTGGACCTTGAGCATGGACCATCTAAAGCGGAGTCGCGGAAAACATTTGCATGAAATCATCTTCAAACATTAAATTATATTGATCGTACTATCGATTCCAATAGAGATTTCATCAATTTTTTCGAATTTTTTGTGTGGCTTTTTTTCCTCTTAAAAATCACCCGCTAAATCAAAGAATACATAAGTCTCAGCAGTGAACCTTGAGGGACACCCGAAAAATCTCTCCACGCTGTGATAGTTTTTCTTTGTTGTCAAGCGTCTACATTGTTTTAAATCATGCGAACCAAACTATTGCGACAATTCATTCGCCGTGAAATTTCACGGAATTTCCAGTTATGTATGAAAAAAATTGGGTAATCTCTGCACGCTCGACACAGACCCATTAAGAACGTTCAACTTTCTTCCGAACTATCCATCACACTTTAACGGCATCGGAAACTTTCTTTCGAGAGAAATTCCGCCGATTTCCCAGGAATTCTAAGTACACAGATGTTATGCAAATGAAATAATTAATGAATGGTGTGAACGCGACCGCTATTTCATTGCTTTGTTTTTTTTTCGCTGTGATCACTCTTCAAAACTGGTTGTGATGTCACAGTTCATTTACATTTTCACCTTTGCGAGTTACGGCAGTGATTCTCACTGACGACATCGGGCTTTGTAGTCCTTATTTCAATAAGGACTCATCTTTATATGAGCTGATATTATCAAAAGGAAATGTTTGCTTGTGACGGAAAAAGTCAAAAACTACTATAACCAATTTAAAAAGTCTTTCAGCTGTGGAAAGCTACATCATTAGCTAGTAACATGTACTGTATTTTATTTTTGAAAAAACAAAGACCTTGCTAAAGACTGTACACCGGGACACTGTCCCGGGTACAGTGAAGGATAAAGGATCAGAAATTCTCGAGCGCGTCAGATTAAGGAAGGGGGAGTTAATTACCTGCTAAAAAGTGTATATTCCAGTAATCTGACAATTTGAAAGCGACGTAAAGAAATGGGAGGGCAGCAAAGTTGTAAAAAAATAACGTCAATTCGACATTCTCGAGCGTAGCTAATTTTTTTTTATTTTGAAGTAAATAATTCAAGGATAACGAAAAATATATAATATGACGATTTCCGCAAGCCGAAATAACAAAAATTCGTCGATAAAGTTTAATGCGCGCAGCTGTGTGATACCTATATTTCCCTCTCCGAGTTTCTATTCCTCTATTCTCTATTCACTTTTTCTCTATCTATTACTCTCTCACTCCGTCCCCACTCTGAATGATGTTGCCATGACGTCATCACAGCTGATCACACTGACTCGTTCGTGATGAAGATGATGATTAATTAATCAATTAATTGATGGATGTAGCCGTTACTACGTAGTAGGAAATCATAATGAAGAAAAGAGAAATGAACTTTCTATGTTTTTTACCACTTTTATTTGTAACTAACGTTACTGAAGTTTCGTCCTATAAGGAAATTTTCAAACTCATACAATATATAAGGACATTTTCAAACAATATATAATTTTCAAAAGCGGCTTTACAGCTGCTTCTATTTTTTATATTAAAAATGAGACGGATAATTCGCTTTTGACACATGAACGCTCTTCCAGAATTCACACAAGATTATATGCCAAATGGGATTAAATGAATCCATAGTAATTATCAATACGAGCTATCTGATTCACCGTAGACTTCAGTTTTAAAATTGCATAGAATCCTGAGCTTAATTTCTTGCAAACATGCTGCAGTTGGTCACTCCATGTTAAACACTGATCTAGATAGGCTCCTAAAAATTTTGTATTGGTACTAGTTGATAAAACATCCATAATTATGTTTTTGTGAATTTTTCGGCATTTGAAATTGATACATACGGCTTTATTCAAACTCAAGATGAGATTATTTCTATTACACCAATTTTCAAATGAATATATAACGTGTGTAATAGCATTTTGAAGTGCCTCTGCTGTATGCGCTGTAACCACTACCGAGGAGTCGTCTGCAAACATCGTGACAGATCCTGTTGATAAAAATAACTCAGGCATATCGTTTATAAATATGATGAACATTAGTGGCCCCAGTACAGACCTCCGAGGCACCCCAATATCATTCGTCATATACTCAGAACAATAGTTTTCAACTTCAACATAGGATTCTCTATTAACTAGGTATAACTGCATAAGTTCAAGCATATTTCCTCTTATTCCATAAAATCTAATTGAGAGATCGAAGAAAATACCGGATACATATTGTCCAAAGTCAATACCTTTATGGACATGACCCATGAAATCGCACACGACATCCTCTGTCGACCTTCCCGCACGAAACCCATATTGGGCAGAAGAAAGAACTCTGTTCTTGTCCAAAAAATTGACCGGCAGCAGAAGGTTGCTTGTCTCAATGAGGATCTGTAAGTGATTTCGAATTGGGGTAAGAGTAACTGGGTTCAATTCAATGCCGCAAAATCCCAGCCATCGGTTTTCTCCAAAAAGATAAATTCGGAGATATTTATCCGGATATACTAATGTCACTAATTCCGCTTTCTGCTATCATTCTCAAAACGGGTATCACGAAAAGAGAAAACTTGAACGAAATGGACCGGAAAATTACAGAAAATAGACAAGTACATTTCATGTTGGAGAATAATCAATTCAAAGTTGACTACAAACATCATTATCACTTGAATTATTGGTTGTTATGCTATTATAAATAATAGGCCATGTAATCAACTTGATTTACTGCTATCAATTAAATTCTATCACGATACAATTCAAATAACCACTAAAATCATGACCATGAATCTCAATGGTATCATGACTTTTATGATGTAACAGATCAAAGAGATTAACTAGTTAGGCTTTCAAACTGGTAATTGGATTTATAAACTTAGTTGGTGAATCCTTTTGAATGGTTTTACTAAACATATAGAATGCTGAGAAGGTGGATTAATACCCCGATTTAAAGTTGGTACGTCATTAGCAGTCGGATCATAGATTTTCAGTGAACATTTACGTTCCAGTAAAGATACAATACAAAATTACTCGTATCTATAGACATGAGTCGTACGTTAACAAATGAAAATAAAACTCTTTCTTGCGATCTTCGACCTAAAAATGTGCATGAATCTCCCTCAAAAATTTTCAAATACTCCGCCTGTGGTATCAAATCCCATTCAACTGCCAATGATGGTTAGAAGCGGTCGATACGCTTGAAAGTTATTGCGATATCTCTGAGGAATTTCGGAAATCCCGCATTGTTAAATTTCAATTTGCATCGCCAACTTTCAAAACAATGCTAATTTAATATTGGGATAGCATCAACAAGCCAAACCTCGTGATGGCGTAGGAGTTTGGCACTTATATAGGCTATTTCGGTTCTGACTCGCCGATTCGGTTATATCGGTCTTT